AACTGTTCATTCAACACTCTGAGTTCCTAATAATGGGTATGAAGGAATTATACATATGAAGCCAAAAAAGACATCAGATTTTTAAGTATACAGGCAAGATTAGAAAAAAAAAAAAAAATGGACAGGGCCAGCCAAATATCTCAAAGGATTAAAGTGCCTGCAAGCAGGTGTAGGGGCCGGGGCTCAATCCCTGGGCCTGCTGTGCCGGCCCCACCCCCAGGGTGCACGGAGAAGGCAGTTGAGACTGAGTGTGGTGGGCGTGCTGGTGATCCCAGCTCTGGGGAGGCTGTAAACAGGTGGATCACTACGAATCCCATCTAGTAGCGATACCCTGAATACCCTGTAGACCCTTCCCTAAAATACAAAAAAAAAAAAAAAGGAAGAAAAAAGTGAACAATCTTCTTTCTCCCTCCTCAAACTTAGTTGTCATAAGCTAATTACTTGTTACATTATTATTATTATTATTATTGGTCTTTTTGAAACCGGATGTTGCTATGCATGCAGTTCAGGCTGACCTTGAACTCACAGAAATCTTCCTGCCTCAGCTAAGTGCTAGGATTACGGGCATATGCCACCACACCTGGCTATATAGTCTTAAATTTTCCACTTGCTTTGGCTCTATGATTTTCTGTTTTAAGAGCAAAAAAAATTTTTTTCTTTTTAGGGGAAGGGTCTACAGGGTGTTCAGGGTCTCACTACTAGATTGCACTTGTAGTGATCTGACAGTTTACAGCCTCCCAAGAGCTGGGATTACAGGCAAGCGCCACTATGTACTGTCTCAATTGCTGTCTCAGCATACCCCAGGGGCAGGGCTGGCACAGCAGGCCAGGGTATCGAACTCCCAGCTCCTGCGCCTGCTTGCAGGAAAGAGCAAAAATCTTATGCCGAGAAAAATATCAAAAGTAGAGAATACACTAATAAGTGTTCTGTTCCTAATTTCCCCTTTCACAATAAATAAGACTGAACAAAAGCAAAAATAGAGAAGGTATGAATTGCTATGTTATAAAATAAACATGACAATTAATAAATACTAACGCTGAGTCAATAGGCCAAAGTAGTATTATATACTTTAGCAACAAAATTTTCTAAAACGTAATAAATACCTTGTGAAAGCCTAAGGTAAATTTAACAGTGACAAAAAAATGCCATACAGGCAGTTCCTCCCCCACCCCGCCCACTGAGTAGGAATTTCTGCTGAGTTCCGGGAACCCCCAGACCCAGTCCTAGCCCAGGTCCGGTGAGTGTGTGGACAGCTTCCTGCTACCTTGCGCCAGTGGGACCTGTCCCAGCCCAGGCGCAGCGTGGGCCGGACCCTCTCCCACCCACTTGGGCCACCCCCCA